CAGGACTGCTACCACTATCCACCCAATTTTTGCAGGTGAGAAAATGGGCACAGAAAGATTTAGCTACTTGCCCAAAGTCACAGAGATACTTGAAAAAAATTCAACTTAGGAGTCCACAAACGTTCTAGGAATAAATTCAGTTTCTGAAAGATGTCTGCTCACTACCCAGGCCTGAGTAAAGAAGCTCCTGATTCATAAAGCAAAGTACTGAAAATAGAAATTGTTGATATTGATAATTAATCTGCATCCTTCCATTGATAAATAAAGTGAAACATTTATTTTTAAAATCCTAAGAAGGAAGTTATGTGATTTAATGAAAATGGCACTAGCTCCAGACACTGAGCACTTGAATCCCAGACCAGCCTCTTTCAACTAATCTCAGGTAGGTGCCCCAGCCACCCCTCACCTGGGCTTACTTTATGACCCACAGCTTGCCTCTTGACAGGCCCCGGGAGGACCTAACCTGAGCCATGCATTCAGGGGCTACTCAGAAAACAATAGTCTCTTCTCCTTTAGGTTAAAAAAATGTATCACGCTTAAAGGAGCCTTTTAAGGTTGCCAAGAATAAAGTCCAAAATTACAGTAACTTCCACAATCCAGTAAGAACAACCTAGTGAGAAAAAAAAATAGGCAAAGGATGTGAACAGGTAATTCACAGAAGCTGAACTATAAATTAGCATGAAAAGGCCTTCAATATTTTTGGCAATTTGGGAAATAAAATTAAAACAATAATGTCTTCTTTGCCCATTAGACTGGAAAAATTAACAGTTAACAAAATTAACTGGCAAATATATCTAGCCCAGTCAAAGGGAAACAGTTTCACTCACTAATGGAATAAGTACAATCTGATAAAGTCGGCAGGTGGGGGGGGGGCAATTTGACAAAAATATCAATTTAAAATTACACTCTGTCCCAGAAATTATACTTCTAGGGATCTAGAAGACTGAAATATTTTTGAGCATTAACACTGATATGTTTCAAGGATTCCTCACTGATTTTATAGCAGAAATTTGGAAGCAATCTTAAATGTTCAGTAATAAGAGATGATTAAATAAACTGCACACACGATACTCTAGAATGTATCTCTACTCCCCACAACACAAAGGAGGACAAACTTCTCATGTCAGTATACACAGATATTAGGAACAGAGCATTAAATTTGAAAAGCAAACCACAGAAAATTTTGTGTAATGTGACTACACTTGTTTACAATTAAAGTGTTTGTCTACTGACAGGATCCAGAAGCAAGGGCACTTCAGCAGCAATGAGCACACCTAATGGCTGATACACCTGGGTTATTACACCACTCTATTAAAAGGAACTAAGGCTCTTAGGAGAAATGGCTAGGGCAAGGAAAACATAAGCTAAAGTCTTGATTTTGTGCCAGAAAGAAAAGAAAACCTCAAAGAACCATAGGGACATTTCAGAAGGACATACAATCCAGCTGAAAGGGCTCCCCCTGGCCAAATCTGAGACAATTAGAGCAACAAATGAGTAATGGGAGTAACAGTCTATAATCCATTGAATAAAGCAAGAATTCTTAAATCCAGGGATCCAAATCAAGAACTAAATAAGATAGAAAAGTTCTATTCAGTACAATTCCAACTAATAAATGTAGAAGAAAATATGGAATTAGAAAATCACCATCTGTCAACAATCGTAAAAACTGATTCAAACAAGAAGCATCAATGGGTTCTAAAACTAGTGGGTAAAAATATGAGTAACAGTATTCTAACATAGTCTCAAATTCTCTCCCTATGAGATACATATTGATTACAACAGGAAAATGAAAAGTTTTCAATGAGGCAGACACCATCTGAGTCAAATGATCAGAGTTAACAAGGCCAGTGAATGGGATCATGGACAGCATTATCCTAACCGGACACGCTAACAAGACAGCAGCATGAAGCCTGCGCTGTTCCTGCCAGAACTGCATAACCTGAATCTAATCATGAGAAAACCACAGGAAATCCAAATTGAGCAGCATTATCTAGAAAACAGTCAGTAGTCTCCAAATATGTCAACGATATGAAATACAGACTCAGGAACTTCTTCAGACTAAATGAGTGATAGAGACAAAATAATTTAATGAAATAAATGAGCTAGGATTTTCTTTTGCTATAAAGGACATTTTGGGGGGCAACTGGTAAGATCCCAATAAGACCTGTATATTAAATAATCGCATTCTATCAATGTGATTTTAAATAATTTCACTGCTGTTATGTAAGAGACTGTCCTTGTTTTCAGGAAATACACAGTAAAGTATTTAGAGGTAAAAGGGCATTAGGTCTGCAACTTACTATTAAACAGTTTGTAAAAAAGTCATCCATGGGGGCTAGGGCTGTAGTTCAGTGGTAGAGTGCTTGCTAGCAAGGTGAGGCACTGGGCTTGATCCTCAGCACCACATAAAAAATAAATAAGTAAAATAAAGTTATAAAAAAATTTTCAAAAAGAAATCCATGAATATGAGAGAAAGACAAAAGACACAGCAAAATGCCAACATTAGGAGAATCTGGATGAAGGGTACCTAAGAATTCTCATTATTCTTGCAACTTTTCTGAGTGTGCAATCATCAAAATTCAAAAAATAATTTAAGAGAGCAAGGTGTGTATATGCATAGAAATATAGGGGATTTCCTGGGGATTAGGTTCATGGTGACATCTTCCTTAAAAGCACAAAAAATCAGAAAATAATGAAGTAAGCTTGCACAGGGGTTAATACTTATCTCTCCAAAATATGCTCTGCACAATGAAAAAAAAAAAGCTGTTTTTAAAGATCTTTCAAGACCAGCTCATTAATCATGTTCTACAAAGGAAGCACCAACATAATCAAGCCTTCTTCACCACAGATCTGTGCTACTTTTTTTTCCTCTGAAAGTCAAAGCTTCCTGATACTATGAGTAGTTGAAGATGGGGACTTTTCTGGAATATGTAAGCTAAAAAGGAGTTTTTCATTAAAAAGCAAACAGGATAAAACATACTTGGTAGAATTCTTGAGATGCTAAGCCAAGGGATAGGAATGGGGGTTAGCTGGTAGAAGTCTACTCTAAGAAGGCTCCCAGGTCGGCAGCCAGCTTAAAAGATTCATGGGATCCATAGTTCTCTATCATATACATCCCAATTCTCTGGTGTCCCATTGCTTACAAAAAGCTCTCATGGATAAAATTTATTTCACCATTTCCTTAAAGTGACTTTTTTTTTAAACTCCAATATTTATTTACCAGCAATACTACAAAATAGCCAGTTTCCAAAACAATAGTGTTAACTATAATCTAAGACATCGGCACTGCACACTGAGTCTACATGGGGACAGAGTTTAACCTGAGCAAATACATACCCTGAGATGGAAGATACCAAATGAAAAGGAGCTAGAAAGGTAAAGTAGGAAGGTAAGTACAACATATTGCAGAACTCAGCAGAAACACTGCCCTCCTTTCTCTTTGAATCTGTCCAGCATCCATTCCTCTAAACTCTGTCTTTGAGTCAGACCCTCCCAATAACTTTGGCTCGTTGCTACAGAACATACTTACAAGACACTACAGGGAACAAGGCCTTGGGAGGCTCTGTTCACATGCAACACCACCCTGAGAACAGCATCATTCATGGTCTCCTCCGATACCAATACTCCCACAGAATCGCCATACTGACCTCCCCATGTGGGCACTATTTTTCACTTTCCTTAAAGAAATCAATGAATTGAATCTTCTAGGAGTAAATATTTCAGGGAAAAAAAAAAAAAAAACCAAAGGCCCTAACCTATATCCAAAGACAAACTCCCTGTTTAAAAAAAAAAAAAAAGGCTGTTTGCCACCAAAGAAAAATTAGGATTAATTCTAGGATAACCAACAACTAATCTATGTGCATTGACCAATACCAAAAGAATCAAGGTTTAAAAACAAACTCAGTAAGAGATTCTTTTTTCACCTTTTAGAAACGAGAACACCAAGATACAGAGTTAGCTAGTAGCAGAACCAGAATTCACACCCAGATCACCTGCTCTGTCCCCATCCCCCACTTGTGTCCCGCAGTCCACACAATCCACTTGAACAGGGGATGAACCAAGCATAATTTCACTGCAACATCCTAACTGCCACACTGCCCCCCATTCCCTTGTTTTAGACGTCCTAATGGGCAGGTGACAAATCACATTCTATCCCTCCCCAGCCTCCCAAACACAAAACACATTCAGAGGCAAAGCAATCATCATTCAGATGATGAGCTTTACAACCGCCTATACTTCCTTCTTACCCAGAGGAATATGCTCATGAGCTGTCAACTGGGGCAGGAGGAACCCATCATTATGTAATGTCAGAGGGCAGGCAACAAGGGGCAGGGAAGCTGAGCCTATCAATGCTCCCGTCCTTTGCCCACAAAGATATAAATTTACCTTTGACAATGTGAGTGTCTCAGTTTTCTAGGGCCTACACGTTCAAGACTGGCTTTTCAAAAGACAGCCAAAAATTCCTGCAAATCTCTCAGGCCTCAATTAACTGACTAGCAAAGCCAGAAAGGCAAAAAATATGAAAAGCAAAGATTCGAGATGTCGAGGACTACAAGTCTGCAGAAAAGGGAAGAGGAGTTGCAAGGATGGAGACCCAATTTCCCACCCTGAGATGCATGTTTATTTTTAACCCGGTAATGTTTACACCCGAAACACAGCGAGGCCTTCAGCGTGGGGAGTCCACTGGATCCGGCCCCAAGACGAACGAGGCAGGCGCCGCGACACCGGCACGGGGCGCCGCATCCTGCATCCCGAAGCTCCCAGCCGCCCCCGGCCCGGGGCGCCGTGCCTCCTCCGGAGCCAGGGTCGCCCCTGCTCGGATTGTTCTCAAAAGACGCCACCGCTGGCGAACCGCTAGGCTGTGCGATTTCCATGACAACCGCGGGCGCCGTCCGGGTCCGGCTGTCCAGGTACCGGGACTGGACCCCGCGCCCGTTGCCCAGCCCCGGCCTCCGCCCCGCAGACGCCGCGTCGCCCCGGGTCCCGCCCGGCTCACCTACCTGGCGTGCCCCGGCCCGCGGCGCCCGCCGCCCAGCTCTGCCCGGTTCTCCGTCAGCCGGGCGCGCGCCCGGGCCCCGCTGCAACAGTAGCGGCACGGCCTGACTGAAGTGACAGGTTTCGTGCCCCACCTCAGGTGCGTATCCCCCGGCCCCGGTCCGCGGCGCCCGCCCCGGCCGCGAACCTGCTGCCCGCGCGCAGCCCGAGCCCGCCGCCGGCGCCGGCACCACCGTAGCTCTGGACGCCGAGCGCGGCCCCGCCCCGGCCCCGCCCCCGGCCGCGCAGGCGCACCGCAAGCCTCAGCCGGCCAAAGCCCCGCCCCCGGCTGCTCCAGGCTTCACGGGTCTCACCCTCCTCTGTACCCGCGTCGCCTGCGAGGAGTTCTTCAACTTCCGGACCCACAGATGGCGTTTTTACCCTCAGGGACACTGAGGCTTTTGAGGCCTGACACGTCGCCGAGGAGTAGGTTCCTGAGAGGAGCCGCGACCCGGCTACGTGCTCAGGCGATTAGCGCGCTCCCGAGGTGCAGATGTGGTGGCTCCCTCTGAGACGTTTAGCAACGTGAACGGTCCAATCAGAAACGTGCAAAAAATAAATAAAATAAAAATCACAGTTCTTGGAAAACACAGATTTGCAAAAAGAAGAGGTTGCTGATATTTGAGTGTGTGTCCTTCCGGACCTGTCTGGCATATGTGCATAAATGATATCAGTTACTTCTCCCACGAAATTCTTTTTTCCATAGGAAAACAAGTTGTAAAAAGTTTGGGAAGAAATGTTTCACTTTGATAAGACTTTAAATCTTAACATTTCTGTTTGAGCAAGGTAAATACTGGACTGAACATAAACAGTTAATTTCTCCTGGAGTCTTTACATTTTTGTTTTGTTTTCCCTCCCCTGATTACCTGAGTCATTACATTTTATCAGGGGGAAAAAAATCTTTCTCCTTAAAAACTGTTAAATGAAAACTATTTTTTAAATTTTATTTTAGTTAATGGACCTTTATAAAAATTATTTATTTTATATGTGGTGCATGAGATTCAAATCCAGTGCCTCACCCATGCTGGGCAAGCACTCTACAACTGATCCACAACCCCAGCCCCATTTTAATTCAATAAACCAAAATATTTTGCAGTCAGTGTTCACATCTCAGGTATAAAAATAAGTAAGCATTTATAATTTGCCTCAAAAATGAAAGATATTACTCTGTTAGAAATTAAACAAGAATTCTCTGAACTCATTTAGATTTAGGTCTGATCCTCCTCATGCAACCAAAATCCAAATGCATATGATACTCTGCAACAAAAATAAATAAATATAAAACTAACTCTGAATCTTTTTCAATGTTTTATTTTATTTCTCTTCTGAAATATAACCCACTAACAAAATACTTACCTTTTGTTATTCTAATAAACAGAAGGAAATACTGACAGAACTTTGACCCTAGTACAAAATTAAAGCCAAGAAAATCTGAGCTGGTAGAAATAATTTTTTTTCATATCTTATTTTGTAAAATTAGTGTGACCAATATACCTAGTTTTCCTGGGCCAGCCCCAGTTTGCATCTTTTTTTCCAGTAATAATTTTACTGGAAATGCTCCTTTTCACTCTCAAAAGTACTCCAGTTGAGGCATTTCATGGCCAGGCTATTTATAATTCAGTTAAGAGAGTTTTAAATTCAGAAACTTTAAAAAGAAGAAAGAACCTAATTTAAATTCACATTTAAAAATAGAAATCAGTCTAATGTCAACATTCATTCACTTAGCACAGTAACAAACTCTGAATGAAAATCAGTCTTCCAATAATATTTGTCACTTAATTGTTGTGTAATTCCGGATAACCTTAAAAGATCAGTTGTGTTTCTGGTGTAACAATTCCACTGTAGAATGAACTTATCAAAGGAAAGGGAGCTAAGTATGTTAGTAAGTGCATTAACAAGATGGATAATGAGCAGTGTGCTGGTGGCACAGTACCTCAGTCCTTCAAAAGTTCTCAGCATGGGTGCCCAACCAGTCCTTAGTATTCTCTAGGAGTTTGCTGGAAATACAAAGTTCCAGACCCCACCCCAGAGCTGTTGAATCAGAATCTCTGAAAGTGGGGCAATCTGTATTTTAATGCAGATTGGGGCAATACTTTCGAGGAGATCTGATGAGCATACGGACCACGGGTACACTCACACACACCATGGGTAAGCTGATTTAGGTGATCTATATACAATAACTAAGAGCTGAGCAGTGTGATCTGCAGGACTAGGACTGAAGGGAAAGCGAGGAATGAGACACGGGTAAACGAGAAATGACAGACAGACCAGGCAGAGACACACACGAGAGTTCATTTGTCAGAGCTGACAAAGGCCATCTCTCTACAGGAGAGAGAGGCAAAACAGGCTTGRATTCTGGGATTTTTATAGGGCAGGCTCAGGAATCAGAGCCAGGCATGTCCTAATGCGGGCTGCTAAGGCTTGGGTTGGTATGAGGGAGTGGTGAACCTTTCTCAGAAAGGCCCTTGGGCTGGAAAGCAAAACTTTTTCCTTAATATGGCAGCTGTCACTTAAGATGGCCGTCCAGATGCTAATCAAGGACCTTATAAGGACCATCCTACAAGAGAGTTCCTCTTCAGCACTGAAACATGATGTTTAGATGTACTATGGTTTCATTAGACTTTGAACAAGCAATATACAAAGGCTAAGGAAAAGCTGTAAATTGCCTGCCTGACAATTGAAGGAATGCACACAGAGCCCCCCATTTAAACACAGGAAGAGGAAATCTTTGATTCCAGCAGTTGAGGAAATGTTTGCCTGATCTTTTGTGAAGCATTGATCTGACGGAGCAAAGACTACAAGTGACTACAGTGACATATCAGTGGGTACAGATGATAAAGAATATAGATTTCACAGAATTAGCTCAGGGGAGTCACTAAACAAGCAAAAAACAACAAGAACAAACAGTAACACCACACCCTGGGAAAGAAGAATAAATATGATTTCCAGAGTTACCACAGCATAATATTTAAAATGTCTGTTTTTTAAAATAAAAATAAATAAATAAATTATAAGGCAAATATACAGGAAAGGACACAGGCTTAATGGTAGTTGATAGACCATTCCTGAAAAGCACAAATGTTAGACTTACTAGACAAAGATTTTAAATCAGCTATTAAGGACACATTCAAAAAATTAATGGAAATCATGTTATGGTTTAAATAGGGAATGTCCCCCAAAAGGTCACGTGTGAGACAATGCAAGAAAGTTTTGAGGTGAAATGATTGGGTTATGAGAATCTTAACCTAATCAATGCATTAATCTTGTAGTAGAGATTAACTGGGTGGTAGCTGTGGGCAGGTAGATTGTGGCAAAAGAGGTAGATCCCTGGGGGCATAGATCCCTCTTCCTCTCCCTTTTCCTCTCCCTCTCTTTCCACACACCTCTCTCTCTCTCTCTCCCTCTCTCTCTCTGGTTCCTGAGCATGACCTGAGCAGCTTTCCTCCTCCACATTCTTCTGCCATGATGTTCTGTCTTACTTCAGGCCCTGAGGAATGGAATTGGCCTTCTACAGACTAAGACCTCTGAAGTCGTGAGCCACAAAATAAACTTTCCTCTTCTAGAATGTTCTTGTCATATCTTTTGGTCACTGCAGTGAAAAACTGACTAAAACATCATTGTATATAGTATATATTGTGTGCTACTTCTTTTTCTACAAAAGAAGAAAGTAATAGACAAATAGAGGAACAAAAAGGATATATGATACATAGAAAATAAATAATAAAATGACAAACACAAATAAATCCTACCTTATCACAAGCTATATTAAGTATAAATGCATTTAATAATGGGATCAAAAGCAGAGATTGACAAAATGTACTTTTTAATCAAGTGTTTTAATTGTAGATGGACACAACACCTTTATTTTGTTTATTTACTTTTTATGTGGTGCTGAGGATCGAACCCAGTGCATTACACATGCTAGGCAAGTGCTCTACTGCTGAGCTACATCACCAGCCCCGAAAAATGTACTTTTAAAAAATGGATCCAACTATATGCTGTCTGCGGAGATAAACTTTAAATTCAAAAGTATAAACAGGCTTGAAGTAAAGTTATGAAATCATGTAAACCATAACCAATAGAGTGCTGAGGATTATACTAATATCAGAAAAAAACAGACTTTTAAAAAGATTGCTAAAGACAAAGACAATGTTTAGTAATAACAACAATAATTGATTAGGAAAACAATAATTATAAACTATATGCATCCAAAATAAGTCCCAAAAATACATGTAAAAAATCTGATAGTATTGAAACAAGAAGTGGAAGATGTAATATTTATAATTGAAGATTTCAGTATTCCACTTTAAATAATGGATAAAGCAACAAGCCAGAAGATGATCAAGGAAATTAAAAAATTTGAACAATGCTTTAAACCAACAGGACTTAACATACCTATGGAATGAACACTCCCCCAAACAGGAGCAGAATAGACAAAATGCTCAGTCACATGTGAAATATCATGCAGGAGAGACTATGATAGCCCCTTTAAAAAGTCTCAATAAAAAGAATTGAAGGTGGGCTGGGATTGTGGCTCAGTGGTAGCCACAATCACCTAGCACATGCGAGGTCCTATGTTCAATCCTCAGCACCACATAAAAATAAATCAATAAAATAAAGGAATTGGGTCCAACAACTTCTAAAAAATAAATGTTAAAAAAAAGAATTGAAGGCTTACAAAATATGTTTTCTGACCACAATGCAATTAAAATTTTTAAATCAACAACAGAAGGACATTTACAATTCATTGGAAATTAAACAACACATTCCTCAAAAGACCAAAAAGTTCAAGAAGAACTCAGAAGGGAAATAAGAATCTATTTTGAGAAAAAAATTAAAATAAACTTGTACTTCTAGTGTCTCTCCCAGTGCACAATGTCTTGCATGCAGCAAACAATGACACAGTTTTATTGAGCTTGGTGGTTTTCTAATCTGGATCCCTTGCAGAGCTTTTAAAAATTCTGATTGCCCCAGCTGTACCCAAGACTGGCTAGCTTAACATCTGGTGAAGGCCAAGCTTTGGAATTGTACAGTTTCCCTGGATGAATTTTCTGTGCAACCAAGGTTGTGAACCTCTGGTACATTACTTTATCCATCTGTTCTTATTGATAAGTCCTGGCCAAAAACAGTTCACCTCCACTGGAACTGAACTGAATTCAATTTGGCAATTTTTGTT